CTCTGTTTTTTCTTAATTATGCCCACAAATAAGAGGAACAAGACACAGTAGCCATAAGTTGTATAAAATATGGAATTGTACACAGAAAAATAACCTGAGCCTAATGAGTGTGTATGAATTTGGTCTGAACTATTGGTCAACTCAAGACTTGTTAATAATAAATAGATGATAATCTTGAAAGTGGAATTTTTTTAAACCTTCGTTGTTTTTGGTCTAATTTGCAGTGATTCAGCTCAGAGACCCTAAGATGTCAATTTAAATAGGAGAAACAAAACAGCTTGGAGATAAGGAAGTGAAGAGGTATCTGAGTAGTGACTTGCAACCAGGTAGATGCAATTATAATTAAAGTCAAGTAAAATATGCTGGAGAAAGAGTAGAAAAGATAATGTCCTGAGATAAACTGGTGAGCTATGAAAAAATAACAATACAAAAATCAAAGTCCTGAGGAAAAAAATAATTCCACCATATAATGCTTCTTAAAAAGGCCTTTTCACTTTTCTGTGAGCATAGATTTCTGTCTATAAAATGGAAATCCTAACATCAACCGTTCTCATTAGTAAATTTCCAATATTAATAATAATAACATTATTTGAATATTAGTATATTTAAATATTCATATTGATATAATGATTTTAAAATAATGGACTTAAGATAATTAAGAAGTGTTATTTATGATTTGTTAAATGACTGAAAAATAAATCATCCTGTTGCATTTCTGTGTTTACTCTAGTTTATAGATATGATAAATGCTATAATAGTTTAAAATCATGAATTGATAATGAAAGATGTTTTAGATTCCTTTATGCAAGCAGGAAAATTGCAGAATGAGGACTTTAAACCTCATGACAGTTTATACACGCTGATAATATAACAAAAAGTAGTTTACCACATACAAATGCCCTTTGATAGTTCTTTAGTATTCTTCTAGAATTATTTGCTTTCCAAGCATTAAGAAATTTGATTACTTAAATAATAGAATGACAAAATTCAAGAATATATAATTCAGATTATTTAGACAATTTTCAAAGACTGAGTGCTATTTTCAGCTGATTTAACCACCACTTACAATCTGTTTCTTTCCTTTTCTGTCTTACTTAATATTATACTTTTTATAAGATGCTATTTCCAGTGCTCATATGCCATCAGTCCATCACGTGGGATTAACTGTTGACCAAAGAGAAATGAAATTAAATAGCTAGATAGACAAATTTTTATTGTTTCCAAGAAACCAAAGATGATTACAAAAGCAGACTATAAACATTCTGAAAATATACAAATCTTTTCAAAACCATTATTTGACAAGATATAATATTTTCTATCAATTTGAACAGTTAGCATTTGTGGAATATTAATAAGCTTACAGAAGTGCCCCTGCTCTGATGTGTCCATTTTTCAGTAGAATCTACATTCTGTGCATTATTTGTGGTGAAAGTTTTTCATTTTACCTTAATGCTGTAGTTTTCCTGACATTTCAGGTAGGTTTCTAACATACAAATGTATCCATGGGGAGAACCTTTCCAGTTATTTTCTTAAAGTCTTGGAACATTAGATGTCTTGACTATTTTGATCCATAAGAATATTTTAGATATGCACAGATGACATAATAAAAAAATACTTAGGTTTCTTTTATGCTTGTTTCCTCTTCTAAATACATTAAGCAAGAGTCTTATTTCTAATTTTATTTATGTAATTTTAAGAATCAGCAGTGATTAGTGAAATCCAGTTCCTGACATTATTGCTTCACTTGGACTTAGTTTCTAGTATTCCTGAGCTTTAATCTTATTTAAAAGATAGGCACAATATCTTAAAGGGCTTCTGTGGAAATTTAGCTGAGTAAATACTTGATAAGCACTTAGCATAAGTACTCAGTATTTGAGTCAGAGATCCCTTTATTCATTTTTGTATACTTAAGACTTAAGTTATAGATTAATTAGGTTATAATACATTTAAATCAGTAAATTCATCAGAAATATGAATAAAATAGATGCAAAATTATTAATAATATTGTGTTAGGATAGTGTGATTATGTAGTTTCTTTATTTTCTTGGTTTTTAAATAGTATTCTATTACAGGGATCAGCAAACTATAGGCTTAGTCTAATTTGTAAACAAAAGTTTATTGGAATATCCACACTCATTTTTTTTAGTATCGTCTGTGGCTGACTTTGCACTAAAACTATCAAGATATGAGTAGTTATGAGAGAGACCATACAGCCTGCAGAACCTAAAATGTTTATTATCTAGCCCGTTACAGGAAATGTTTGCTGACTCCCACTTTATAACTATCAATGCTATAAAGTAAATAAAATAAAATGTAATTGTTGATCTAACTGAAAAATAGAGTAGACTCTTCACCACAATTATCCAAAAGGAGAAATATCAGAAGGTGATAGAAAATGCCAGTAGACATGTCAAAAGCTCATACAAGAATCATTCTATTCCTTGGTTCAGCATCAAACTGGAAGGGAAATCCAGAACTATTAAGTATCAGTTAATGATCAGGATGAACATATGGTGATTAAGTACTTAAAATCCTAGTCAAAGCAATTAGGTAAGAAAAAAAAATCAAAGACATCAAATTTGAATGGAAGCAGTAAAAAATGTCTGTTTGCAGATGACTTGACCTTATAGAAACCCTAGACTCCATCAAAAAAAAAAAAAAAAGAAAGAAAAACTGTTAGAACTATCAACAAATTTGTAAGGTTGCAGGATACAAAAATCAGTACACAAAAATCAATTGTTTCTATGCACTAATAATGAATTATTGGAGAGATAAATAATAAATTATTGTAAGAAAAAAAATTAATTTACAATAGCACCAGAAAGAATAAAATTCTTAAAAACACATGTAACCAAGGAGGTAAAAGATGTATACATTGAAAACTATAACATTGATGAGAGAAATTAAAGAAGACACAAATAAATGGGAAGGTATTCTGTGTTCATTGATTGGAAGTATTAATATTGTTAAAATGTTCATACAACCTAAGGCAATCTACAGATTCAATGCAGTCCTTACAAAATTCCAATGCCATTTTTGTTAAATAGAACAATCAATCCTAAATTTTGTATGGAACCAGAAGAGAGCCTGAGCAGTCTTGAAAAAGAACAGCGAAGCTGGAGGTATCACACTTCCTGATTTCTATTACCTGATTTCTGATTCTATAGAAATAGTTTTCTATTTATAATTCTATTACCTGATTTCTAATTCTATTATTTCTAATTCTTATTAATAGAATTAGAAATAGAATTAGACAGTACCACGCTGTGATATTTCTAAAAACAGACACATAGATCAGGAAAACAGAATAGAGAGCCCATAAATAAATGCATGTATTCTGTCAACTAGTTTTTGATAAAGGTGCCAAGAATATACAATGGGGAAAAGATAGTGTCTTAAATGGATGCTGGGAAAACTGGATATCCACATGCAAGAGAGTGAAACTGACCCCCCATTTTAAACCATACATAAAAATCAACTCAATATGGATGAAAGGCTTGAACATGACCTGAAACCATACAATTCCTAGAAATATAGGGGTAAACTCCTTAACATTGGTCTTTGTGATGATTTTTTTTTTGATTTGACATCAAAAAGGCAACAAAAGCAAAGTAAACAATTGAGACTATTAAACTAATACTAAACTAAAAAGTTTCTTCACAAAAAAGAAAACTGTCAACAAAATGAAATGGCAGCCTATGAAATGGGTGAAAATACTTGTAAGTCACATATCTGATGAAAGGTTAATATCCAAAACATACAAGGAACTCATGCAACTCAATAGCAAAGAACACAAATAATCCAATTTTAAAATGGGCAGAGGACCTCAATAAGTATTTTTCTAAGGGAGACATAACAGGCCAACAGGTACATGAAAAGGTGCTTAACATCATTAATTATTAAGGAAATGAAAATCAAACCACAGTGAGATTTTACCTCATACTTTTTAGAATGGCTATTATCAAAAAAAGACAAGCAATACTGGCAAGTATTTGGAACAAATACTGGCAAGAATGTGGAGAAAATGGAAGACTTTTATGCTCTTGGTTGGAGTTTAAACTGTTTTCAGCCTCTAAGGAAAAAAGTATGGAGGTTCTTCAAAAAATTAAATGTAGAACTACTACCATATGATTGGGCATTTTTCTTCTGGATATATATGCAGAGGAAGTTCAGTACAGTTTAGGCACTCAGTCGTGTCCGACTCTTTGCAAAAGCCCATGGGCTGCAGCACGCCAGGCTCCTCTGTCCATGGGATTCTCCAGGCAAGAATACTGGAGTGGGTTGCCGTTCCCTTCTCTTTAAGTGTTCCTCAGCATATCCAAAAAGAAAGTCCCTTCCTTTGAATAAAAATAACATAAAATCTGTTTGATTGGGAACATTTCACTGCTATGAAGAATTCATAAAATGATAGGTAGTACCAGTTTTGGAAGTGCATTAAAATTAATTTATTAGACTCATACAATTTCTAATCTTATAATTTTAGGATCTCTGCTGAAATATTTTAAAATATTCTCAATTACTAAAAGTGGAAAAATTCTAAAATATGCCTACTATTTAATTCTCTAAAATTCATCAAATGTAATATAAGATCCTTTTAACGTTGGTATAGAAAATCTTAAATGTTTGGATTAAGAAATCATTCCATTTGTCTTAGAAATCAGAGTGAGATAGCGTTTGTTTCTTTGTTGGTACTTTAGGACAGATCTGAACTCAACTTTCTCTTTGAGGGATTTTTGTTTCCACGAACAAAATGCTTTCAGTTTTTAGCTCATAACAAAGTCACATGCCTCACTCCAATTTTTTGGTAAATTTGCTGATAACTTTCTGAATAGCAGAGTATTAAAAAATATTTATGAAAATTATACACTTGTAGTTAAGGTAATAAAAATATAATATTATTTTGGTAACTTAAGAATTACATGAAAATGCAAGTATGGCCTAAACTATTATTTCATTTTTTTAAAATACAGGTTACTTGAATTTCAAATAGAGAAGCAGAAATGCCACCACCAGGAGGCACCCCACCACTACATCCACCTCCCGATGGAGGATGGGGCTGGGTAGTGGTTGGAGCAGCTTTTATCTCCATTGGATTTTCATATGCGTTTCCCAAAGCTGTCACAGTATTCTTCAAAGAAATCCAGCTCATATTCAACACTACCTACAGTGAAATAGCATGGATATCATCCACTATGCTGGCTGTTATGTATGCAGGAGGTAAGGTTCTTTGGACTAAATTGATTTCTGGTTTAAGAAAACAATTGCTTCATGCCACAGTATTTTGCATATACTATCTTGGTACATTAAAATCCTGTTTTCATATTACCCTCACTTAAAACCAACCAGAAGGATAATTAGGACGAAACTTTTAGTGATTTTTAGTGGTTCAGCATCTTGAACTATTCACTTCATTCTGAGTGTTACTAGAGTAGTTATTTGAATAAGGATGTCTTTGCACAAACTAAGGTTTACTAAATTATGGAATTTTTAAGGGTGGCAAATTTCCATTTAATTTGAAATAGAGGCTATACTCTAGTATTAGTATCATTTCATTATATTGCTGCATTTGGTAGACATGCTTTTTTATGAATGGGAAAGAAACTCAAATTGCTGACAACCTATTTTTCTAAGCCTAGGAAGTAATTCACTTCAAGTTGCAAAAATGGAGTGTAAATCATGTACATTCTGGATCCATTCAAGTTTGTGTGAATAAAATCATTCCTTATCTCTGTAGCTTATTAAATTTGTATTTATTTAATATAAATTAAATATTAAATATCTCTGTAGCTTACTTAAATATTCTAACATTTAAATGGTTGCTTGGCAGTTTTCTTGTTATGTTCCATGTTCAAATGAGGGTGTGATTCATGAGGGATAGTGAATAAATTGGTACCATATTAGTGTGTTGGCCAAAAAGTTCATTTGATTTTTCTTCTGTAAGATGGCTCCAGTAGCGCTTAATTGTCTTTAAAATTTTGTTGAATTGTATTATAACAGATGTCATAGTGTGCATTAAAAAAAAAAGCTTATCAAAGTTGGTGCATTTTTGTGTAGCCATTTTAATATTGAAGATGGAAGAAAACATTTTTGGCATGTTATGCTTTATTATTTCAAGAAAGGTAAAAATGCAACTGAAACACAAAAAGATTTGTACAATGTACGGAGAAGGTGGTGTGACTGATCAAAAGTGGTTTGCAAAGTTTCATTCTGGATTTTTCCCTCTGGACAATGTTGTACCATTGGGTAGATCAGTTGAAGTTGATAGCGATAAAATCAGGACATTTATTGAGAACAATCAATGTAATACCATGTGGGAGGAAGCTGACATACTCAAAGTATCCAAATCAAGTGTTGAATCACACCAAAGTCCAGTCTTCATCCAAAGAAAGTGATGTGTATATGGTGGGATTAGATGGGAGTCCTCTATTATGAGCTCCTTCCTGAAAACCAAACAATTCATTCCAACAAGTACTGCTCCCAGTTACAGCAACTGAAAGCAGCACGTGAGGAAAAGCCTCCAGAACGAGTAAATACAAAGCACGTAACTTCCCATCAGGATGATGCAAGACCACACATTTCTTTGATGACCAGGCAGAGACTGTTACAGTGTGGCTTCAAAGTTCTGACTCATCCATCATATTCACCAGGCATTGCACCTTCAGATATCCATTTATTTTGATCTTTTTAAAACTCTCTTAATGGAAAAAAATCTAATTCCTTGGAAGACTGTAAAAGGCACCTAGAGCAGTTCTCTGCTCAAAAAAAGACAAAAAAGATTGGGAAGGTCAAATTATGAAGTTGCCTGGAAAATGGCAGAAGGCAGTGAAACAAAATGGTCACTGCATTGTCCAATAAAATTCTTGGTGAAAATGAAAAATGTGTCTTCTATTTTTATTTAAAAACTGAAGGAACTTTTTAGCCAACCCAATACTACTGACTATTAAAAAATACTGGATTATTAGTGCATTTTTATGTCACCTATCAGCTTTAAATCAATCCCAACATCAGGCAAGATTGTCTACAGATTTTTTTAATCATTACTTAAAATATTTAGATTTTAGAATTTTCATTTTTCTACTGGATATTTGACTTTAAGGTACAGATATAGACTCAGAATATAAGCAGTTAAAAGTGTGTGTTAGTTGCTTAGCCATGTATGACTTTTTGAGGCCCCATGGACTGTAGCCCGCCAGAGTCCTCTGCCCATGGAATTTTCCGGTCTAGAATGCTGCAATGCGTAGCCATTCCCTTCTCCAGGGAATCTTCCTGACCCAGGGGTTGAACACGGATCTCCAGTATTGCAGGCAGAATCTTTACCATCTGAGCCACCAGGGAAGCCCAAGCCCTTAAAGAAGTTATAAAAATCATCTTTCAAGGTCTTACTTTATAGGTGAGGATAATATGGTTCATAGTGATTGTGATATAACATTAGGAATAATATCCAAAATGTGTTCACATTTACTTTCAGCTCAGGCGTCTCTTAAATGCTTGGTGTGTGTCATATGACTTAATCCTCTTAACATTCTGTAAAATAAGAATTACTTCTCTCCATTCTATAGCCAAGAAAATAAATAAAATACTTTTCCTAGTTCAAGCAACTCATTAGGGACATAGAAATTGAGACCCCCCACATATGTAATCACTATGCTCTTCTGCCTTTCTCTTCCCTCCATAAAATGGCAGAGCTACATCTGTTCAAGGCCTTCCACAAACCTGATTCAGGTGTTGCCCCACCAAGGTTTTTGCTTTAGTGACATAATGATTATTCTTTTTGCTGTTTTTGTTCAGTCACTCAGTTGTGTCCAATTCTTTGCAACCCCATGAACTGCAGCATGCCTGGCTTCCCTGTCCTTCACCATCTCCTGGAGCTTGCTCAAACCCATGTCCATTGAGTCAGTGATGCCATCCAACCATCTCATCCTCTGTCGTCCCCTTCTCCTCCTGCTTTCAATCTTTCCCAGCATCAGGGGCTTTCCCAATGAGTTGGCTCTTCACATCAGATGACCCAAGTATTGGAGCATTGAATTATTCTTTTTTTTTGTACTACCAAGGTAAAAATTTGATCCCCCAATAATCCTGTGTGCATGTGTGCGTGCATTGGTGGGTATTTTCTACTTTCCGTAAGTCAGTGATTTTGCATTAATCCAATGTATGTCTCCATTACCCTTTTGGTTAGGTTAAATTGATGCATTTCTGTTCCAGTACCAAAAGATATCTTTAAAATGCTATTTGGGCATGTCAATGGACAAGTCTTCTTTTAAAACCCTTTGAGATTCTCTGTTAGTTGCTTTAAGCGTTGTCCTGTGTTGTCTCTGATGACTGTGGAAACAGTGGATACTGTGCACTCAGTCTAGTCCATCTGTCCCATGGGTCAGGTGTTCTTTAATGATGTTTTGCTAAAGCAGCACTGATAACTGTTTTGTTCTGAGTTCCAAAACATGCTAATGTTAAGATATGTAGTTTCCCCCTTCTTAAATACAAATGAAATGGATTCTTCTAGTGAGTTTGTGTAAGTAAGTCTAGTTCAGTTTGGACTTTGGGTTCCATACATTCATAATTTTCAGTTGAGTTGATCATTGACTAACTTAAAGCAACACAAAAATGTATGTAACCTTTTTGGAAATGAAAGTGAAAGTCGCTCAGTTGTGTCTGACTCTTTGTGACCCCATGGACTATACAGTCGATGGAATTCTCCAGGCCAGAATACTGGAGTGGGTAGCCGTTCCCTTTTCCAGGGATCTTCCCAACCCAGGGATCAAACCCAGGTCTCCCACATTGCAGGTGGATTCTTTACCAGCTGAGCCACAAGGGAAGCCCAAGAAGACTGGAGTGGGTAGCCTATCCCTTCTCCAGGGGATCTTCCTGACCCAGGAATCAAACCAGGGCCTCCTGCACTGCAGGTGGATTCTTTACCAACTGAGGTGCCAGGGAAGCTCAAAGCCTTTGTAGTCTTCCCTTAATAAACTCCATCCAGATAGAGAATTAACAAAGAGAGCATGGAAGATGATATGGAATATTTTAAGGGCCAGGCCTAGAAGGGTTAGAAGACATTTCTGCACACCTTCCCTTGGTCAGAACTTTTATATTGCCCTACGTAAAGGCTTCCCAGGTGGTACTGGTGGTAAAGAACCCGCTTGTCATTGCAAGAGACATAAGAGATGTGGGTCTGATCCCTGCATTGGGAAGATCCCCTGGAGAAGCGCATGGCAACCCAGTCCAGTACTCTTGCCTGGAGAATCCCATGGACAGAGGAGCCTGGAGGGGTACAGTGCATAGGGTCGCAGAGTTGGACATGACTGAAGGGACTTAGCATGCATGCAGACCTAGAGGCAGGGGAAGGGTTTCTGGAAATGCAGGGTTTCTAGAGGAAGAAACAAAATAGGATAACACAGAGCAAGTCTCAGACAGAGCTTGATGTCCCAATAATCATTCTCTATCCCATGAAAGCAGGATGTATTTATAGATTTAACCATGATCATATGACAGCCAGGAGTCACATGGCTGGCTCTGAAGGAAAACTTAGAATGAAGAACAGTCCAGTTACTTTTCTCAAGCCAATAAATCTCAGCATCAAATTATAAATAAGTAAATAATATAAATGGGGCTTCCCAGGTAGTGCTGGTGGTAAATTTGAAGACCATAAGGCAAAAGGCATATAGTTTGCTATTAAGACCAATGAGCCTCTGTACCAAGTAACTGAAATATTGTGTTCAACATAATGCTAATTGCTTTAGCCTAGAGAACATCTAAGATCTGACGCTCATTAGAGCTTAGCGCTCAGCCTATTAATCACCGTGGTGGGGTCGCGGGGTAAGACGGAGTGTGTTCAGAAGCTTGGCCTATGATGTCCGGGCTGCAGTCTCCTGTAGCAATTAGTTGCATCTGGGCTTTGGTAGCAAGGTATTATCTTCCCTTCTGATGCCTGAATTAAAAATGAAACTAATGAAAGGAGTGCGGGAAGGATGGAGAAGAATGCAAATTCTGTTTATCCCTTACTTCATCCTTAGAATAATAGCATTAAATTACAGCAACCCATCTGGCCATCCATATGGTCTCCTGGAGTTCTAACGAATTTTAGCAAATAGGTCAAGCAGAGTGGTCACCCCATTAATAAAGCACTAATTAGAAGTAGAAAACATATTACAATTTAAACTTTCCACATTGTTTAGACAGATATAAGGATTTATTTTGTAAACAGTAATTATGTAGGATTATCT